TGTTTGTCCATACCATTAACATACAACTTGAACTTTTAAAAGTATTTTTTATCAACAACCCCAGCATCATTAAAATAAATACACATTCCCAAGGTGAATACTTTGAAAACAGTTACTGAAACGTATAAACTCTTACATGCTTGATTAAAAAGAGGTCTCAGCTGGGCGCAGTGACTCACGCCTGTAATCCCAGTGTTTTGGGAGGCCAAGCCAGGCAGATCACCTAAGGTCAGGAGTTTGAGACCAGCCTGACCAACATGGTGAAACCTCATCTCTACTAAACATACAAAAGTAGCCAGGTGTGGTGGTGGGCACTTGTAATCCCAGCTACTGGGAGGCTGAGGCAGGAGAATCCCTTGAACCAAGGAATGCCTTATATGTGTAAATATACTCTACTTTCGTTGTCCATACCATTGACATACAAACTCAATCAATTATAAATAATGGGACCTTAATTCCTTCGTCATTTTGTTTAAGTAATCTGATGCTATCAAAAATTGGTTTGAAGAAGCACCTGGTGAGAAAATTGAGGACTATTTAAGCACCAAACCATTTAGTGATAGTAGGTGACTATAACCCACTCATTGAATAAAATAAATATCCATGACTTCATACTCATATAAATACATGAATAAATAAATAAATGACAAAGAAGGAAAATCTTTTATAGCAGAATGCTGGTAAGGAAATGTAGAAGTGATGGAATTAAAAAATCACTGTTGGACAAATATAGTAATAATTGATTCTGGTAACAATCATCATTAAATGCTAACCCTAGCACACAAAAGTTTAATGAGAAAGAAGAGGTATACATATTCTTTAAATATCCCCTCATAAGAGACAATAGTAAACTGACAGTGTAGAAACCTGAGAGACACGACTTTAAACAGTCAACGTTAACAACACTTACTGAAGAAAATGATGACATATGCATCATAATACGATGTATTGAGATGTATTTCGGCTAAAATACATAACCAGAACCTAACACTGAATAAACACTAGCAAACAAAAATTGAGAAATAATTTGAAAAATAACTAGTCTGTAGTCTTAAAAATATATTAGGGTTATAAAAGTTGAAGATAGGCCAGGCACAGTGGCTCCTGCCTGTAATCCCAGCACTTTGGGAAGCCGAGGTGGATGGATCACGAGGTCAAGAGATCGAGACCATCCTGGACAACATGGTGAAACTCCGTCACTACTAAAAATACAAAAAATTAGCTGGGCGTGGTGGTGCACACCTGTAATCCCAGCTACTTGGGAGGCTGAGGCAGGAGAATTGCTTGAACCCTGGAGGCTGAGATTGCAGTGAGCCAAGAGCATGCCATTGCACTCCAGCCTCTGCAACAGAGCACCTCTGCATAAAAAAAATAAAAATAATAATTTTAAAAAAAGATTCTGCATTAAGTCTTATAAATTAAGTTTGGATAGCAAATGGAATATATACTATAGCAAATGGAATTATTTGGTTTTATATGTCTTTCAATAAAAAATATGGGTTGTTTGTATGTATAGCAGATAAAAAGTTATTACTAAAATGGCTGGGCATTCAAATTGTAAAAATAAAAGAAGAAAGTCAAATCTCTTCTTCACTGTTTAAGCATAAGACATTATGCCCAGGAAAAATCAATAACACTTCCTTCTATCGGACTTCATCTGCTTCCATTGGCTCTCTATTCAATGTCAGCAATTGTCAAAGAGTCTTAAAACTTTTGTTTCTACAACCACATTCATTTTCTTCAGAAGAGAATCTTATGAAGATTATGCAGATTTAACTCTTCAGCAGTATGTGAGTATACATTTAATTATATTAATTTTTTATTACTTATTATATATGATTATATATATAATTAATGTACAGACACATAGTAATAAATACAAATTATCCTGATTACCTTTAATATTCTAAAATATAGAGTTCTAGATTCCAAAGTTATGAATTAAATAGCAGTTTAGACAGATTGATGGTAAATCCAGTATCTACCTTAAATGCTGAAAGTCTTTTTTCCCTCTTCAGTTTTCTTTCCTATTTATTATAAATACAGCTTTAAAGACATCTGTCTTTGTGTTTCTTTGCTTTCCTCTGAATTTCTACAGTCACTAATTCTAAGAAAGACGAACTTCAAAACGTAGGAGGTTTCCTGAATCACTGTTTAAAAACTGTATGTCTGTCTATATCCATCCATCCATACATCACACTCACTCACATATAATAAAATCATCATGTGATTATGCACCAGTGAGAGAAATATGAAGTGGAGCTAATTTGATTTGAAAATCTTGCACTTACATTACTCCAAGCAAACTGCCTCAATAGTTTCTGAATACTAACAACAGCATCACAAATGAAAAACTACCATTTTTGGTCGGGCATGATGGCTCACGCCCATAATCCCAGCACTTTGGGAGTCTGAGTGGGGCTGATCATGTGATCAGGAGATTGAGACCATCCTGGCCAACATGGAAAAATGCTGTATCTACTAAAAACAAAAAAAATTAGCTGGGTGTGGTGGCGCATGCCTGTAATCCCAGCTACTCAGGAGGCTGAGGCAGGAGAATTGCTTGAACCCCAGGAAGTCGGAGGTTGTAGTGAGCCAAGATAATGCCACTGTACTCCAGCCTGGCGTGATCTCAGCTCAGACTCTGAAAAAGATTCTGAAAAAGAAAGAAATAAAAAGAGAGAGAAAGAAAGAGAAGGGGAGGGAGGGAGAGAGGAAGGAAAGAAAGAAGGCAGAAAGGGAGGAAGGGAGGAAGGGAGGAGGGGAGGAAAAAAGGAGGGAAAAGGGGAAGAGGGAGGAGGGAAGGAGGGGAGGAGGGAGGAGAAAAGAATGAAAAAAATAAAGAAAAACTACCATTTTTGAGCAGCAACTATGTGCCTATCACAGTTCCTGGTATTTTACATACAGTGTTTCCCTGAATTTTCACAAAAAATCTGCCAAACATTCTTATTCTCATTTTAAAGACAAGGGATGAAAGAAGGTCCACACAGGTTAAATAACTTGCTCACAGTCATCAAACCTCCATCATCAGGTTTAAAGCCTGTGCTGTTTCTACAGTTCAGTGAGAGTCAAAAGGTCAGAGACACTGCATGTTAAATGCTTGCCACAGTGTCTGGCACCTAGCATATATTCTGTAACTATTAGGTACATTTTTTCCCCAATTTTTCCTTTTCCAAATGTTAAGCAGAAACAGAAATAGAGGCATTTGATTTTAGAGTACTTTAAAGAGCTACTTTTTAAAATGATGCTTTTAACCAAAATCAAGACAGGAGAGGGGGAAAAAAAAAAGTTTGGATGGGCGTGATGGCTCACACTTGTAATCCCAGTACATTGGGAGGCCAAGGCAGGCAGATCACCTTAGGTCAGAAGTTTGAGACCAGCCTGACCAATGTGGTAAAACCCTGTCTCTACTAAAAATACAAACAAATTAGCCGAGCATGGTGACTGGAACCTGTAATCCTATCCTAGCTGGAACCTGTAATCCTATCCTAGCTACTCGGGAGAGATGCAAGAGAATCACTTGATTCCGGGAGATGGAGGTTGTAGTGAGCTGAGATTGCGCCATTGCACCAGTCCAGTCCGGGAAAAGAGTGAGACTCCATCACAAAAAATAAATAAATAAACATACTATATCAGACTGATTACCAATCGGTATCAATTTTTGGCTTCTACCTGGTAAAGGGTGCACAGCATATTAGAAACAGGATTGGTGGTCATTGTTCTATTCATCTATGTAAGTGCTAATTATCTGGTATATGCCAGGCACCAGGCTCTGAGAGTGCAACACTAATGAGACATGGTCTCTGTCCTTACAGAGATTAGGCAGAGGATCTTCCCAATTATCAGACAACTGTGCCTAATGTAAAAAAATTCTGTAACATCTGGAAAGTTGCTATGTATACTAAATATACTAGTATCTGTTCATGGGCAAGTGTATGAGACTCAGTTACCTAGCCTGCCAAATGAGTACAATAGTTACTTTTAATAAGCATCATAATAGACAAATTAAATAATTACATGAAATGCCTGGTATATCGCACATGTTTAATAAACAATAGTCTAAAACATCATATAATCTTTGTTGCTTTCCAATAATAATTATTGGCAAATACATTCAAAATATACCCACAAATATGCTTAACTTTCTATAAAAAATCCATTCTGGAACCATATATTATTTATAAAATCATTTAAATCTCATTTACACCCATAAAACAAAATATCAGAAAGTCCTGAAGAAATGACAAAAGGCAGCTTATTGTTAGCTGTGACCAATTTGGCATCCTTATGAGGATATTTATTGCCTGCATTCTGGACCAGGTATTAGCCTAAAATGTTGGTGATCCAAAAAGGAAGTGGGCTGCAGCATCCACTCTCAAAGAGCTCACTATCAGGGCCAGGCACGGTGGCTCATGCCTGTAATCACAACACTTTGAAAGTCCGAGGCGGGTGGATCACGAGGTCAAGAGATCGAAACCATCCTGGTCAACATGGTGAAACCCCGTCTCTACTACAAATTCAAAAAATTAGCTGGGCATGGTGGCACATGCCTGTAGTCCCAGCTACTCAGGAGGCTGAGGGAGGATAATTGCCTGAACCCAGGAAGCAGAGGTTGTGGTGAGCCGAGATCGTGCCATTGCACTCCAGCCTGGGTAACAGGAGAAAAACTCTGTCTCAAAAAAAAAAAAAAAAAAAAACAGCTCACCATCTACAAAGTACAGAAAAACATCAATAAATGAGTATAAATATATACTGTGGAAGTTGCTTTAAGCAAAAATAACATCACTGTAGTTCGGGTACCAGAAAAATGAGTCAATTCTCCATGGAAATATCAGAAAATCATTTCAGAAGAGATCTCATAGCGAAAATTAAGCCCCATTTTGTCCTTATATAAATACTCATCATCAGTAACTTCCAAACATTCGTAAATATAACTAAAGTGAATAAGTTACAGCATATTTTATAATTCAAATGCTAACATGTGTACATTTGACGTTTACCTGCACAGATAGTTGATACTGCTTTCTGCCTAAGAAACTTCTCCACCATTTTTGAATAATTGTTACAGTCCTGTGTAAATGCCTATGATAAAAATGTTTATTAGTATCCTTTCATTAAAACAAGGAGGCTCAGTTAAATCTTCACTTAGAACACTACTACAATTCAAGAATTCAAATTCAAAGCCAAGTTTATGTGCACTTTTACAGCATAGAAAGTTATTCTGGGATAGAATTAATCATTTCTAAAAGCAGAAAAAAATGGCATAGGTAACTATTCAGTATTTCTTTTGGGCTTATTATTACACAATATTTAATTTCAATTCCTCTTGAATACTTACTCTTTAAAATATTTTTGAGTGTTAAGACTATAAAACAGGTAACAGAGACATGTTGAGAAGTAAGCCAGGCACTACTTATGTAAATCATATGGACCCTTAGAAATAACTCTTGAGGGCCAGGCGCAGTGGATCGATGCCTGTAATCCCAGCACTTTGGGAGCCCAAGGCAGGCAGATCACCTGAGCCTAAAAGTTTGAGACCAGTCTGGCCAACATGGTGAAACCACACCGCCATCCCCCCTCATCGCCCCTCCAACTCTACTAAAAATACAGAAATTTGCCATGTGTGGTAGGGTGAGCCTGCAGTCCCAGCTACTCTGGAGGCTGTGGCAGGAGAATTGCTTGAACCAGGGAGGCAGAGGTTGCAGTGGGCCAAGATCGTGCCATTGTATTCCAGCCCTGGACAACAGACCAAGACTCTTTCAAGAATGTTCAAAGAAAGAAAAGAAAGAAAGGGGGGGGGAGAAAGAGAGGAGGGGAAGGGAAGGGAAGAAAAGAGGAGGGGAAGGGGGAGGGGAAGGGGGAGGAGGGAGGGCAGGGGAGAGGAAACAGGAGGGGGGAGGGGAGGAGGAGGGGAAAGGGGAGGGGACGGGAGGAGAGGGGGAGGGGAGAGAGGAAAGATTCATGAGGTTAAGAAATAGTTCTCCTCTTCATTCTTTTCTGTAATCCTCAGTCTATCCAAGCCAACATCATGTTAGTCTGCTGAAATAAAAAATACTCGGCCGGGCGCGGTGGCTCACGCCTGTAATCCCAGCACTTTGGGAGGCCGAGGTGGGTGGATCACAAGGTCGAGAGATGGAGACGATCCTGGTCAACATGGTGAAACCCCGTGTCTACTAAAAATACAAAAAATTAGCTGGGCATGGTGGCGCATGCCAGTAATCCCAGCTACTCGGGAGGCTGAGGCAGGAGAATTGCCTGAACCCAGGAGGCGGAGGTTGCGGTGAGCCGAGATCGCGCCATTGAACTCCGGCCTGAATAACAAGAGCAAAACTCCATCTAAAAAAACAAACAAACAAACAAAACTCTATTTGCCACCATGTTTCTTAGTTTACATAGTGGCCAAAAGAGAAAATTTGCCTTCTTGGCACCATGGCTCACCCCAGTTATCCCAGCACTTTCGGAGGATGAGACAGGCAGATATCTGAGTTCAGGAGTTCAAGACTAGCCTGACCAACATGGAGAAATCCCATCTCTACTAAAAATACAAAAATTAGTCGGGCACGGTGGCATGCGCCTGTAATCCCAGCCGCTTGGGAGGCTAAGGCAGGAGAATCGCTTGAACCCGGGAGGTGGAGGCTTCGGTGAGCCAAGACTGTGCCATTGCACTCCAGTCTGGGCAATAAGAGCAAAACTCCATCTCAAAAAGAAAAAAAAAGAAAGAAAAAGACAAAGAAGCCTTGTCTTCACACCTTAAAGTTGCATATCTAGCTCCTACTAGACATTATAAGGAAGTTTTATATAGGATAATTCCCAGTCTGATGAGTTATTATGAAGCAGGCCTATTTTCCTGTACCTAATCCAGGAAAATGTATTTTAAGAAACACCCGGAGGGAAAGTTTGGGCACTGAAAAAAAGGGAGAAAGAGTTAAGAAAGGTACAAATTTCAGTCTCGTGTATGGTCAGATGACATCATTCATGCATCACTTTCTTTTATCTACCAACATGATGGAAAAGATTGAAACTGTTTTCTCTTTTCCCCCTTTCTTACCAGTCAACGTATTTTTGCTATAAATACAAACCCAATCATTTCTAGATCCTATGAAATATGGGAAAAGGAGTCTGAGCAAGTGTGTTTGTAATATTGAGAATTTTGTTTTATTTTTTTGAGACAGAGTCTCACTCTGCTGATCAGGCTGGAGTGCAGTGGTGCCTTCTCAGCTCACTGCAACCTCTGCCTTCCAAGTTCAAGGGATTCTCCTGCCTCAGCCTTCCAAGTACCTGGGATGTGCACCACCATGCCCAGCTAATTTTTGTATTTTTGCTAGAGACAGGGTTTTGCCATGTTGGCCAGGCTGGTCTCAAACTCCTAACCTCAAGTGATTCACCTGCCTCAGTCTCGCAAAGTGCTGGGATTACAGGAGTGAGCCACCGCACCCAGTCAATATTGAGAATTTTAAATAGAAATATAGTCAATGTAATTTAGTTTTGGTAAGAAGAGATCAGAAACACTATGTATTTCTTTTAAAAGAACACCATATAATTTATTAACTACATTATGAGTAAAATAAAAAATTATTTGAAATAAGCACTGCATAAATAAATTACATTTTCTAAGGGATATATATTTATGACATATCTGAGGTTTCCATGACAAAACCAATATACCTGATATATGCCCGAACTTGACATCCTCGAAACCAGCTCTGGATTTTAACTGCTGCATCATTCTCCTTATTTCTAAATGGATCTACAATACTAAAACAAAATGTTTAAAAAGCACTTCATTAGTAACGAATATAACTCTAAAGCAAGTCAACCTGTTAAACTTGATTTTTAATTTCTTCCAAAGTGATCATTATAAATTCAAATATCATTTTAAGTAACATTAAAATATAAATAAATAAGGCATTTCAAAAATCATGAGTTGTGTTTTGAAAATTAACATTTTTCTGAGAAGCCATGTGCTTTCAATAGCTTTACTTTTTATTTTGATAATCACCAATTTTATAATAAATGAATTTGCCAGTAATTTTTATTAGGGAGTAAGAAAGCGATGTGTTATTTTGACATTGCTTTTAAAACATAATCATTTGAATTTACCGTTTAAATGCTACTACACATGTATCATGCAAGACTAAAATGCTCACATACTTCACTCATTTATTAGTTAAATGAATTGCCTCTAAGTAAAATGAATCCATCACAGAATGCCTGTTCCATTCATAGCTGGAATTCTCAGAAAGTCTGTTTAAGTTAAAGGAGGCAGGGGGAGGCCACAGGGCTTATACAGAGATAAGAAATTCAAATCAGTGATTCAGATGTGAAACATGTACAATATAGGGAGAATTCACACAAATCCGTAAGATTACATAAGGTATAGATTAAGTGTAGGATAAACTGTAAGAATGAACACAGAACAGAAAACCAAACACCATACGTTCTCACTCTAGAGTGGGATTTGAACAATGAGAACACATAGATACAGGGAGGGGAACATCACACACCCAGGCCTATTGGGGGTAGGGGGTAAGAGGAGTGATAGCATTAGGAGAAATACCTAATGTAGATGATGGGTTGATAGGTGCAGCATGGCACCTGTACACCTATGTAATAAACATGCACATTCTGCACATGTACCCCAGAACTTAAAGTATAATAAACCAACATGGCACCTGTATGCCTATGTAATAAACATGCACATTCTGCACATGTACCCCAGAACTTAAAGTATAATAAAAAAACATATACACACAAGAGAATATATAAATAGCTACATTACCTGATAATGAATGAAAGGCACTATGGTAAGATTACTATACAATGCAATAAAGTCTGCTAAAAATAAGAGTGGAAGACTGCTCTAGACAGGAGTGGAAGGAACGAAAGATTCCTTATTGTTGTATATTTGTACTGCATGTAACAAATGACAGACATTTTAGTAAGGCCCAGCGCTGTGACTCATGCCTGTAATCCCAGCACTTTTGGAGGACAAGGTGGGCGATCACCTGAGGTCAGGAATTTAAGACTAGACTGGCCAACATGGTGAAACTCCATTTCTGCTAAAAATATAAAAATTACCTAAGTGTAGTGGCAGGCGTCTGTAATCCCAGCTACTCAGGAGGCTGAGGCAGAATTCCTTGCACCCGGGAGGCAGAGGTTGCAGTGAACTGAGATCATGACACTGCACTCCAGCCTGGGCAACAGAGCGAGACTCCATCCCAAAAGAAAAAAAAAAAGAGGCTTGAATAAAGTGTATTCTGGCATCATATTATTGTACTCCATGTGGGAAGGAGAATAGCTTAAAATCCTTTCCTCCAGAGAGCATTCCCTGACTTCCCAGACTACAATTAGGCCTTTCCCTGTTACAGTCTCATAGCTCTTCATAATATTTACCACAATCATATTTAAAAATTATTTAACGATGGTCTCTTCCACTAAACTTGAAAACGTCAAAGGCAATAATCTTGTCTATTTTGTTCCATACTGTATTCCCCATGGCCTCAGGAGAGATCACTGGTGTCACTCCTAACACTCAACCTTTGTCTTACCAAAGATGCTAGCTGAGGGAGACACATGCCTGTTGGCATATTCCATCCCAGTGAGAAGTGCCACTCACAGGCTTCCCTCACTAGATCTACTCCCAACATTGAAATCTCTCCCAACTTTAGGATGACAAATTGCTGAGGAATCCATGAGTGCCCTATCCTCTTCGTAACTTAAATCCTGGGTGATGATAGAAAAAAGACAGGCAAACATGAAAGGAGCTGTTGAGAGAAATAGAAGAAAATAAATAAATTTTACTAATTAAAACTTTATGTGTCAGGCACAGTACCCAACATTTTACATACCAGTGAATTAACTCATACGTAATCCTTTCAATACCTCTATGAAGAAGAGAATAATTATCCCTATTTGACAAAAAAAGATACCACTGTGGAGAAAATATTGTAATATCCCCAAGGTCACATCTATAGTAAGTGTCGCAGCTGACATTTAATCCTTGGTAGTCCTGCTCCAGAGGTTGGGTTTTTAACCATCACTGCTTCTAAAGGAGAAGAGAAATGAAGAGAGGAGAAGAAAGGAAAAGTAAAATGGAAAAAAAGGAAAATGCAAAAAAATTTATGTAATTAATTTCCAAATATAATATTGAAATTTTGTGGCAAAAGGTAGCACCAATCTCCCTAAAACAATAAAAGAAACCAAGACTAAGGATATGAAATGGGGAGGCTGAGGCAGGTGGATCATGAGGTCAAGAGATCGAGACCATCTTGGTCAATATGGTGAGACCCTGTCTTTACTTAAAATACAAAAAATTAGCTGGGCATGGTGGCGCATGCCTGTAATCCCAGCTACTCGGGAGGCTGAGGCAGGAGAATTGCCTGAACCCCGGAAGCAGAGGTTGCAGTGAGCCGACATTGCGCCATTGCACTCCAGCCTGGGTCACAAGAGTGAAACTCAGCCTCAAAAAAAAAAAAAGAATATGAAATGATATCAACATCTATAGCAACACCCCAAAATTTTAGATTATACCAAGTGTTAGTGATAAAAACTCATATATATTGCTGCTAGGAAACAGTTTGGCCTTTGAACATACACAGAATACTTTTATTTACATAAGTAAAAACCTCACAAAATTTTAGGGCTGTTCATTAAGGATGTATACACATGTAGTAAAATAATAATGAGAATGATAAAATGCAAATTTCAAGACAGAAATGAAGGATGGGGGAAATAAGAAGATTAATAGTTGATGCCAAGGCAAAAGGCCTTGGTTTTCAGGGTTTTGTGCATAATATTAAGGGATTCTAGACTCCGTGAATATCAACATTTTGGCCATGGAAACACATATCCCCAGAGTTTGATAATCTCTGTAAAGATTTACAGTAAAAGATGCTCAATAACAACAATTTAAAAAAAAAACAAGGTCCAATCATAAGATACAAGTATAGGCAGTGTCATAGAAGTTAATGGGAAGGCATCAAGATGGGAGACCATGACTATGTTAAACCGTGGGCGGAAGTCATGGAAAACAAGGTGGTTATTCAACCAGTTGCAGGATTAGAAAGAATCTTTCATTTTTATTTTAAAATCTTATCCTGGCGAATAACAAGATGGGATAGTGGAACAAAGAAACTGTCATTAATGGCCAACACGAAAAAGATACAACAACACAATGTCCAGTAGAGCAGGCAACTCAAAGAAGAGAGATGTGGAAAAAATAAGAATAATTTCACTCAAAAGGCTAATGTGAAATAAAATTCATGACAATAGAATAGAGCTGTTTCTTATGGTTATTTAAACCTTTTACCATTAATATTTAATACAACTAGATTTGCTTTTCATCTTCTTAATATAGTCAATTTAAACCACTGAAAACGTTTGTTTCTCCTTTCCCACCAACAATCAACTTACTATCTTTACAAAAATGGAAGAATAATATGAATAAGTCACATAGATGTATCTAATAATTATTTTGAAGTTACTGTATTAGTTACTAATGTATTAGTATGAACTCACCCTTTATTTATAATTGTCATTAGAAATGCAGAAGAGAAGCAGTCAAATTATCTGTTTTGAGTTAATGTTTCTTAATTTTTCCTGGTGACACTGGTCAAGTAGAAAATTACAGGGGGAGGACTCAAGATGGCGCTGTGAGAACAACCCAGGATTGGAGCTCTCGTTGAATCCACAAATGGTGAGTTGGAGCTGCATTTCCAGACTGATCTTTGTTGCCCACAGAACGGGGAAACTCCCAAGTATAAAAAAGACACGGGACACCAGGCAGTAGGTCTGCCTGGCGAAGCCGGCCGCCGGAGCGGCGGCAGCCGGCCCTACCCAGCAATCCCCACAGGGCGCACTTGTCCCAGTGCCCTGTTGAACCGGCAACCTGAGACTTGAGAGGGCTGGACTTGAGACTGAACGAGACTTGGACAGTAGACCAGCCCAGGGGATTGCAGGGACAGATCGTTTGGGACACCCAGTGGGACGAACAAAACTGCGATTTCAAACTATCCCGAGCAGACGGTCCGAGATGCTCTGTGGGGGAGGGGCGTCCACCACTACCAAGGCAACCCGCCCCAATTGAGATACACGCCCACTGCTGATGCAGCCAGCCATTGCCAAGGCAACCCGTCCCTACTGAGATACACGCCCACTGCTGATGCAGCCTGCCGCTGCCGAGGCAACCCGTCCCTACTGAGATACACGCCCACTGCTGACGCAGCCTGCCGTTGCTGAGGCAACACGCTACAATGAAGAGACTCCACCGCAGGGCGTGGCGGAGACCACAGCACAGACTGCAGGAACAGGGCGAATCACACAACAGCAGGGCGGAGCCTCGGCAGGCAAACAGTGGCTAGTCTGCCTTCTAGCTGGGCAGGACACCTCATAGGATGTCGAAAAATAAAGCCTGAACCCCCCAACACAGAGCATTTGAGAAAAAAAAAGTTTTTTTTAATGAGCTCTGTTGCAGCAGAATCAAACATAGCAGCCTAACAGCCCTGAATGAACAACAGAGCTCACAGCTCAGCAATTGAGCTCCTAAAAAGTACAGACTGTCTCCTCAAGCAGCTCCCTGACCCCTCTATATCCAAAAGACTTACATTTGGCAGACATCATCCTGGGACAAAGATAGCAGAAAAAGAAACGGGTAGCATCCCTCACTGTGCCACAGCTGCTAGAGGTGCACCCCAGACAAGCAGGGCCTGGAGTGGACCTCAGCAGTCGTACAGCGAAGGGGCTAGGCTGGTAGAAGGAAAACCAAGTGACAGAAATACTTCATCAAGAATCTGGGTGTCCACTCAGAGACCCAATCGAAAAGTCAGCAACTACTCAGACGACAAGCAGATAAACCCACAAAGATGGGAAGAAACCAGCGAAAAAAGGAGGAAAACACCCGAAACCAGAACACCTCGCCTCCTAGAAAGGACCAAAACTCCTCACCAGCAAGGGAGCAAAGCTGGACGGAGAATGACTGTGACGAAATGACGGAATTAGACTTCAGAAGGTGGAGAATGAGAAACTTTTGTGAGCTAAGAGAACATGTATTAAATAAATGCAAAGAAACTAAGGAACTTAAAAAAAGATATGAGGAAATGATAACAAGAATGGATAACTTAGAGAGGAATATGAATGAATTAAAGGAGCTGAAAAACACAATACGAGAACTTCACAAAGCATGCACAAGTTTCAATAGCCGAATTGACCAAGCAGAAGAAAGAATATCTGAAGTCGAAGACCAACTCAATGAAATAAAATGAGAAACCAAGATTAGAGAAAAAAGTGCAAAAAGGAATGAACAAAGTCTCCAAGAAATGTGGGACTCTGTGAAAAGACCTAACCTACGTTTGATAGCTGTACAAGAAGGGGACGAAGAGAATGAATCCAAGCTGGAAAATACTCTTCAGGACATCATCCAGGAAAACTTCCCCCACCTAGCAAGACAGGCCAACACTCAAATGCAGGAAATACAGAGAACACCACAAAGATACTCTGCAAGAAGAGCAACCCCAAGGCACATAATCATCAGATTCAACAAGGTTGAAATAAAGGAGAAAATAGTAAGGGCAGCCAGAGAGAAAGGTCGAGTTACCCACAAAGGGAAGCCCATCAGACTCACAGCAGATCTCTCAGCAGAAACACTACAAGCCAGAAGACAGTGGGGGCCAATATTCAACATTCTTAAAGAAAAGAACTTTCAGCCCAGAATTTCATATCCAGCCAAACTGAGCTTCAGAAGTGAAGGAAAACTAAAATCCTTTGCGAACAAGCAAGTACTCAGAGATTTTGTCACCACCAGGCCAGCTTTACAAGAGCTCCTAAAAGAGGCACTACACATAGAAAGGAACAACCAGTACCAGCCATTCCAAAATCACACTAAAAGTTAAAGAGCATCAACATAATGAAGATTCTACAAGAACTAACAGGCAAAACAGCCACTTACCATCAAAATGGCAGTATCAAATTCACACATAACAATATTAACCCTAAATGTAAATGGACTAAATGCACCAATCAAAAGACACAGACTGGCAAATTGGATAAAAATCCAAAACCCATCAGTGTGCTGTATCCAGGAAACCCATCTCACATGCAAGGATACACAAAGGCTCAAAATAAAGGGATGGAGGAAGATTTACCAAGCAAATGCAGAGCAAAAAAAAGCAGGAGTTGCAATTCTCATCTCTGATAAAATAGAATTTAAAGCAACAAAGATCAAAAGAGACAAAGAAGGCCATTACATACTGGTAAAAGGATCGATAAAACAAGAAGAGCTAACGATCCTAAAAATATATAGACCCAATGCAGGAGCACCCAGATACATAAGGCAAGTTCTTAATGACTTACAAAGAGACTTAGACTCCCACACGATAATAGTGGCAGACTTTAACACTCCACTTTCAATACTAGACAGATCAACCAGACAGAAAATCAACAAGGATATCCAGGGCTTGAACTCAGACCTGGAGCAAGCAAACCTGACAGACATTTACAGAACTCTCCACCCCAAATCCACAGAATATACATTCTTCTCAGCACCACATCACACCTACTCTAAAATTGACCACATAATTGGAAGTAAAGCACTGCTCAACAAATGCAAAACAACTGAAATCATAACAAACAGCCTCTCAGACCATAGTACAATCAACTTAGAACTCAGAATACAGAAACCAACCCAGAACCGCACAGCTTCATGGAAACTGAACAACTGGCTCTTGAATGTAGACTGGGTAAACAATGAAATGAAGTCAGAAATAAAGAAGTTCTTCAAAACCAATGAGAACGAAGACACAACATGCCAGAACCTCCGGGACACATTTAAAGCAGTCTCTAGAGGAAAGTATATAGCAATAAGTGCCCATATGAGGAGAATGGAGAGATCCAAAATTGACACCCTATCATCAAAATTGAAAGAGCTAGAGGAGCAAGATCAAAAAACTCAAAACCCAGCAGAAGACAAGAAATAACTAAGATCAGAACTGAACTGAAGGAGATTGAGACACGAAAAACCCTTCAAATAATCAATAAATCCAAGAGCTGGTTTTTTGAAAAGATCAATAAAATAGACAGACCACTAGCCACATTGATTAAAAAGAAAAGAGAGAACAACCAAATAGATGCAATAAAAAATGATAAAGGGGAAATCACCACAGATTCCACAGAAATTCAAACCATCATCAGAGAATATTACAAAAAACTCTATGCACATAAACTAGTAAACCTGGAAGAAATGGATAAATTACTGGACTCCTGTGTCCTCCCAAGCCTAAACTAGGAGGAAGCTGAAACTATGAATAGACCAATAACAAGGTCAGAAGTCGAGGCAGCAATTAAGAGCCTACCACACAAAAAAAAGCCCAGGTCCAGACGGGTTCACAGCCGAATTCTACCAGACACACAAAGAGGAGCTGGTACCATTCCTTCTAAAACTATTTCAAACAATCCAAAAAGAGGGAATACTTCCCAAATCATTTTACGAGACCAACATCATCCTGATACCAAAACCCGGCAGAGACCCAACAAGAAAAGAAAACTTCAGGCCAATATCCATGATGAACATAGATGAAAAATCTTCAATAAAATATTGGCAAGCCGAATGCAACAGCAAATCAAAAAACTTATTCACCATGATCAAGAAGGATTCATCCCGGCGATGCAAGGCTGGTTCAACATACGCAAGTCTTTAAACGTAATTCACCACATAAACAGAACCAAAAACAAAAACCACATGATTATGTCAATTGACGCAGAGAAGGCATTTGACAAAATTCAACAGCCCTTTATGCTAAAAACCCTCAATAAACTCGGTATCGATGGAACGTATCTCAAAGTAATAAAAGCTATTTATGACAAACCAACAGCCAATATCATACTGAATGGGCAAAAACTGGAAGCATTCCCTTTGAAATCTGGGACTAGACAAGGATGCCCTCTTTCACCACTCCTATTCAATATAGTTCTGGAAGTTCTAGCCAGAGCAATCAGGCAAGAAAAAGAAATAAAGGGTATTCAAATAGGAAAGGTGGAAGCCAAATTGTCTCTATTTGCAGACGACATGATAGTATACCTAGAAGACCCCATCACCTCAGCCCAAAAACTCCTGAAACTGATAAGCAACTTCAGCAAAGTCTCAGGATATAAAATCAATGTGCAAAAATCACAAGCATTCGTCTACACCAATAACAGACTTAAAGAAAGCCAAATCAAGAACGAACTGCCATTCACAATTGCTACAAAAAGAATAAAATACCTTGGAATACAACTCACAAGGAACGTAAGGGACCTCTTCAAGGAGAACTACAAACCACTGCTCAACAAAATCAGAGAGGACACAAACAGATGGAGAAACATTCCATGTTCATGGTTAGGAAGAATTAATATCATAAAAATGGCTATACTGCCCAAAGTAATTTACAGAATCAACGCTATCCCCATCAAGCTACCATTGACTTTCTTCACAGAACTGGAGAAAACCATCATGAACTTCATATGGAACCAAAAGAGAGCCCGCATAGCCAAGTCAATTCTAAGCAAAAAGAACACAGCGGGGGGCATCACACTACCGGATTTCAAACTATACTACAAGGCTACAGTAATCAAAACAGCATGGTACTGGTACCGAAACAGAGATATAGACCAATGGAACAAAACAGAGGCACCGGAGGCAACATAACATATCTACAACTATACGATCTTTGATAAACCTGACAAAAACAAGCAATGGGGAAAGGATTCCCTGCTTAACAAATGGTGTTTGGAAAACTGGCTAGCCGTGTGCAGAAAGCAGAAACTGGACCCCTTCCTGACACCTTACACTAAAATTAACTCCAGATGGATTAAAGACTTAAACATAAGACCTGGCACCATAAAAACCCTAGAAGGAAATCTAGGCAAAACTATCCAGGACATAGGAGTAGGCAAGGACTTCATGAACAAAACACCAAAAGCATTGGCAACAAAAGCCAAAATAGACAAATGGGACCTAATGAAACTCCACAGCTTCTGCACGGCAAAAGAAACAGTCACTAGAGTGAATCGGCAACCAACAGAATGGGAAAAAATTTTTGCAGTTTACCCATCTGACAAAGGGCTGATATCCAGAATTTACAAAGAACTCAAACGGATTTACAGGAAAAAAACAAACAAGCCCATTCAAAAGTGGGCAAAGGATATGAACAGACACTTTATGAAAGAAGACATATATGAGGCCAACAATCATATGAAAAAATGCTCATCATCACTGGTCATCAGAGAGATGCAAATCAAAACCACATTGAGATACCATCTCACGCCAGTTAGAATGACGATCATTAAAAAATCTGGAGACAACAGATGCTGGAGAGGATGTGGAGAAAAAGGAACACTTATACACTGTTGGTGGGAGTGTAAATTAGTCCAACCATTGTGGAAGACAGTGTGGCGTTTCCTCAAGGCCTTAGAAATAGAAATTCCATTTGACCCAGCAATCCCATTACTGGGTATATATCCAAAAGACTATAAATCGTTCTACTATAAGGACACATGTACACGAATGTTCATTGCAGCACTGTTTACAATAGCAAAGACCTGGAGTCAACCCAAATGCCCATTGATAATAGACTGGATTGGAAAAATGTGGCACATATACACCATGGAATATTATGCAGCAATCAGAAATGATGAGTTTGTGTCGTTTGTAGGGACATGGGTGAATCTGGAGAACATCATCTTCAGCAAACTGACACAAGAACAGAAAATGAAACACCGCATATTCTCACTCATAGGTGGGTGATGAAAAATGAGAACACATGGACACAGAAAGGGGAGTACTAAACACTGGGGTCTATTGGGGGGAAAAGGGGAGGGCCAGTGGGAGGGGGAGGTGGGGAGGGATAACCTGGGGAGAAATGCCAAATGTGGGTGAAGGGGAGAAGAAAAGCAAAGCACACTGCCATGTGTGTACCTACGCAACTGTCTTGCATGCTATGCTCATGTACCCCAAAACCTAAAATCCAATAAAAAATTAAAAAAAAAAAAACAAAAGAAAATTAAATAATTTCTTTTTGGGGTACTCATAATGTATACACACATATATATATATATACACAAGCACATATTAATAAAAACTATACATTGCAATTAAAAGGAAGGAGGCACTAAAAATTAACTAGTAGTTAACGTACTGCTAAACTTTAACTTATGTGCTAAAATTTCATTTCTATACATGTTTTTCTGTTTTCCATTTTTTAAGTGCTTAAAAACGAAATTTACAGATGCTGGGTTACCACTGGGATGTTGAATACTCATACAATAATATGTCATCAACTGCTAGACATTTTATGTTTAAAATGAAAAACGTGGGTAACACTTTATTTTAATAGTATATTAATTCGTTCCAAATTACAGTGAAAATCCTACAGCAGTGAATAAAATGACATCTACATGAATTTGAAATAAATGTATTATGATCAGTATTATCACAATGAATACTAAATGAATTGATAATGATAAAAGACCAAAAGTGTTACCAGTAATGCAATAAAACATTAAGAAATAGCTGGAAGTTTCCAGTCACTTCATCGTCAACTAGAAATAAGTACTATAACCCTCAATAACACTATATTCATGTATATCATTAGTGGCCAGAAATTAACTGAGAATAAGTAGAAAATGAAAAAAAGTGTGTACTTAAATATCTTTCCAGTAATATGCAAAAAATATGCATTTTACACATCAACAGACTGCTTGGTCTGACCTATGTATATTATCTATGAATAAATACTAGATTAAAAACTCAATACTCTTTCTTTTTTATTATCATATAACTTTTAACTATTTTAGACAGCAGGAATAAAATTCCATTATTAGCTGCCCTGTGCTGTCAGATATGTTGATGTGTAAAATGATTATTGTTTTGCATATAATTTCACGATTAGTTCTTAAGGATTTCATGCTCCTTAAAGGCAAAAACTACAGTACACTTAATCTATACTTTGGGTTCTGATTATCACCCATGTGCCTAATAACAGACACTTGATGATAAGAAACAGGACTATGTTTTAGAACTAGAACCTATGTTTTATATTTCATTCATAGTCCTCCTCATTGTTATTATGTCACAGCTCTAGGAATAATGGGTTGCAAATGCATTATTATTAGATAATATAGTAGGAGTTACTATAGTTGGCCAAATGTTAAATACTGTGCAGAAGTCATAGAAAACAAGGTCATCATATTTTAGAACTAGAACCTATATTATTAGTGCATTTAAAAATATTTCATTTCCTAGCCAGCCATGGTGGCTCATGTCTGTAATCCCAGCACTTTTGGAGGCCGAGGTGGGTGAATAACCTGAGGTCAGGAGTTCAGGACCAGCCTGGCCAACATGGTGAAAGCCTATCTCTACAAAAACACAAAAATTAGCCAGGCCTGATGGCA